TTGGAAAAGGTGCAGTTGTTGCTCGAGGCTGGAGCTGACGTGAATGCTGCAAAGGCAGATGGGGCAACAGCTTTGTTTGTTGCAGCTGAGAATAGCCGCAACTCGGAAGTGGTGCGGTTGTTGCTCGAGGCTGGAGCTGACATGAATGCTGGTGCAACCGCCTGAATGCCTGCGGACCACCATGACCACTGAAAGTGTGGGCGACTGGCACCGTTGCTGTCCCAAGGCTGTCCAGGGTGACCAAAGACGAAGCCGCTGTGGATTAAGAGAACCTTGGGTCCTTCGTGAGTCGTTGCGATGCTGTCCACACCATATATTCTTAAAGCAGAACGCATCAGAGTTCGCCCATGAATCACTGCACGAGCTCGCCCACGAATCTCCAAATAGATAGCTTCCCCACGAATCGCCCGATGTCCCGATGTTCTTCACCTGCCGCGCCGAACCTGATCGTCCCGGATCTCGCTTTCGGTTCTGCTCGTTCGAGGCTTCGGATTGTCAAGACCTCCCCTTAGCCAGAGCCTTTGGCCCAGCAGTTCTGGAGGCGAAACTTCCGTTTCACGCGGGGCTGCCCTCGAACGGGCGGAACGGAACGGCGCGTCGCGGAACGGCGCAGCACATGAATGTATTGGGATTGTTTGGAATTTTGATTGGCCGAATGTTCTTTGACATGGCAACTGTTTTTAATAGAAGTTGGTAGATGTCATGCTCAACACAGACAATTGAAGTCTTGTTTCATGCCCATTTGGATCCTACAAGGAAACCACGGGTTTTGAAGGAGCAGAGTCTTGAGTGGCTGGCAAATGAGGCCATGCTGATGCACATCAAAAGAATTCTGGCCATTGAGATCAGAGTATATGCGCCTGCGTTCAACTAGAAGTCTGCCCTTCTGACAGAGAGCTTCTGACTCTCTGCCCTTGTTTGAAACGGTTGACGAGCGTTGATTCCGTGCCTTTGGGCGCGGGGCGGACTTCGGCTCCGGAGGTCACTCTCTATAGAGAGGGGGAGCAGCCAGAAAGACCCCATGTGAGTCCGTCGTCGTCCGGAGACCGACGGAGCTGAGATGGAGCTTTCGGAGCGACCGACGGACCGACCTCTCCCTCTCCAAATCGCAAGTGACTCAGCTTCGATCGTTCAGTCAGGGCCTTCCGGCTCCGCGGGGGGTCGCCCAGCTGTCGCCGTCGGGCCGGGAGAGGACCGGTCGGGGCGGGCGCCGGTTGGGGCGGAAGGTGCTGGACAACGTGGTGACACTGCGGGATCACTTGCGGCAGCTGGACGGTCGAGGCGCGGGAAGAGGAGGAGGAAGAGGAGGAGCTGGAGAACCTGGAGGAGCTGGGTTGGTGGAGTGGGAGACCCTGAATGGATTGATTGATTGATTTCAGGGCTTTGGCGTGGAAACTGTGGAGTGGAGGGAGAGGAGTGTTAGGTCCTGGCGTCGGGTCGCGCACGAAAAGAAGAGCTGTTGGGTCGGGTCGCCAACAGACGCGTCGAACGTTTTGCCAAACGAGACCTGGAGGGTCTCTGTTGACCGTGCCAGATGAGTGTGAAGAATCGCCCAGGATGACCGTTTTCAGTGAAGTGAAGTTGGCCCACTTGATACACCGTTGGCCTTGCCAAATTGAATGTGAATTGGACAATGAGAATTCGGGGTGGGTATATGAATATGTCCAATTCTTGAATATGAAGATGAATTGGACATTGGACAACATGAATTGATACACCCGGCCCACCACTTTTGATAAAATAATTGACCAATTTGTCCTTGCCTTGCTTGCCCTCAACCAGCTGCAAGTGACCCATGATTGGCTTTGATGCTTGTGGTTCCCCTGTCGTAGAATAGATGGAGAAGATTTGGAGATTTGGATTTGGACGATCGGGATCAAGCGGGTGCACGAATGCCCAATGCCGATGTGTCCGAATTGGACAAGCTAGGATCCAGATAAATGTTAACCTCGAACACCCCTCAAAACACCATCATCCATGCTCCATCCTTCGATCCTTCTTCAATTTCTTCTGGGTTGGTCGTGGATGCCCAGAAGCTCGCGGATGCCAAACCCCTTCGATTCGATTCGTTCACGTGGGATGTGGGGGGTTGATCGCCATAGCATCACTAGTATGGTACTCCGGCTGCTCGCTGCACCCAGGGCTTGATCGTCATTTGTTCCCCTGCCGATGGGTTGAAATGGACACTGAGAGCTATGCCAGAAGAGCAGGAGACGCGCCGCGCCCGCGCCGTACCTGGTCGATCTGGAAGACAAGACCATCACCGAAGTTGGGACCCTGGATCTTCCGACCCCAGACCATCCATGGGATGCAGTTGCTGTACCTATATACATTATATGTATTTTTAATTGGCTGCAGCTCTTTCATACATGGTCTGGGAACTCTGGGAACTGTGCAAAAGTCTCTTCAGCTATATATCCAGCCGACATGGTGCATAGTTGAAAGATCCTGGTTTGCTTTTCGGGTGAATGTTGGATGTGTCCTATGAGTCAATAAGTGAATCCCCTAACTTGTGTCATGATTTGGTGTTTTTCTTTTTGTGGCTTCCTGAATCCAAAAAGCAGCCAATCATGAAAACTAGATTCCAAAAAGGGTGCTTCATGGAGATATCGGGGCGAAAGGCCTGCTCCTGCTCCCGATTTCTGCGACTCAATGCGCCACAGGAGGCTGGTGACTGGAACCAGGGACCAGTACAAGTACAAGTGGAGCTGCCTTTTTTCATCGAAGAACTGTCCGACATATCTTGCAACAGTACTTTTTTGCCATATATGCCCTTGTTGTGATCGTTTGGGCAACAAAAAATGACTAGAACTCAATGTGTTTTGGAATATGCTATATATGTTCAATGTGTGCCAAACAAAAATGTGCGATGGACCTTTTTGGTAAAGATTTTTTGCCATGCGAACGCACCCAAAAGCGACCTCCTTGAGATGACTGCGGAGACCAGGACAGGCGCCACTCGAGAGTGGCTTGGCCGCAGTGCGAAGCGGCAGCGTGGCACACAGTGGATTGTTGGTTCATCAGCAAGGTCGCGGCTCACGCCAACCTACCTTCATTCCTTCATTCCTTCCTTCCTGGCATGATCTCCAGCTGTTTTTTTGATGCTGTCTTTGTGATTTTTTGGGGGGTCCGGTGTCCAGGCCCGTTGTTTTTTGCGCATGGCAGAGGGCATAGTCACAGCCAACGCCTGAATTGGATACGTTTCCATGCGGTGCGAATCCCTTTAGCACGGGACGGTGATCAGACTGATCCGAGACGTTTGGCTTCCGAAAGGGATCCCTTCCAGTGGGCCTTTTGGGAAGCTTGCGATCATCGCTGGACCACGATCTGGAGCCCACTTCGACATCGACGTCCGGGTGCGACATCCCCAGCTCTTCGGAAGCGGATGGGGATGTGTCGCTCGAGGTGGTTTCCGAATCGACCTCTTGATGTATTAGGGTCAAGGGTCATAGACTCATAGGGTCATAGGGTCAAACGTCATAGGGTCAAACACATCGGGCCAAATGGCACAAATTACATCAGAGTTTAATGGGGGGCATTGGGTGATTGGATGCTTCTTGGAATAGGAAAGCATGCACCGTGTCTGACCTGTCTAGTGAGACGTTGTGAATCCCCAAGCGATGGGGTTTTGGGGCACCCTGTCAGCAGAGGTTCGCCACGTTGCGGAGTTCAAGGTGCCTGTCCGGTCGCCGCGGTTCGCCACGGGAAGCGGAGTTCGGGTGGTTGAAAGCCATGGGAGGCCATGGGAGGCCGGCCATGAGAGGTATTGTTCTTCAGCGGTACAGACCAGTGTGGACCAGTGTGGAATGTCCACGATTCCAGTGTTTAGAGTAGCCTTGTTTCATCAATGTTCAAATTGAGGTGGGTTCATTGAAGAGCTGCACGGGTGATTGACATGGAACAGTTGAAAGTGAACTGCAGATTTGACATATACATGTTATTTTGTGGGGTGAGGGTGAGTTCCTCTTCATATTGGGTTGCTCCTGGTTCTTGAAGGCTTTCAAAGGCAAATTGACCTCGTTCAGAGATCCTACAACTGCAGGAATCTATGAGGATCACATGTTTTTCCAAGTTACCGAGCAAGACTTTTTTTTTGATGAAAAGAATCTGCACCACCTCCAACTGCACAAACACTGCAAAAGACATGCAAACACAATCAAATTAATGTTCTTACCCTTCCAGTGGTTGACAGACTGTGTTTCTCAACCATTCCTTTGAAGAAGTCGACCCAGCTGGGCTCGGTGCAAGTCCACCCCGACGCTCGTCTTCCGAACCGAACCCGAAGTCCTGCGGGCGAGGTCTGGACTGCTGCGCGGTGTACCACGGCTGGGCGGAGAAGCGTGGCGCCCCAGTGGAGCTGCAGTGCGCGCGGGCGCTTTGCGGTCCAAAGTACTTCGACCCTGGTTGAAATCCCTTGGGACTTGGGGACTGGACAGGTGCTGCAAGGATTTGATGAAACCTCCATGCAAAAGATCTATGTTGACCAGGTGACCATGATCCATTGTTACAGCGAAGGGAACCTCTCCAACTGTGGGTGCCTTTGACATCAACTATGGGCTGGAGGACGTGAGCCACATCCAGTTCTGACATTTGGCTGTCCTACTGACTGAGCTTGGCATCCGGAATGACCAATGGCAGCGTTTTCCAAGTTACCTCCGATGCTTCCTTGCTTGCATTGGTGGGTTCAGTAAGAACGCCAAAGAAACAGGGCAACGCTACCTGGCTGTCGCACTGTGACATCATGTGCCTCAGTTTCAAGCAAGTTGCCGCAGTTCTGTGCTTTTCACTTGGGCGAGACTACATCGATCTTTGTTTGCTTGGATGGAAGATTGCACAAACAAAATTTCACCCCTGGTGGAGCGTGTGAAGCTATTATATCTTAAACAGCTAATTCTTTTAGGCATTGCTTTGCAAAGGCTTCAATCACTGTGCTTGTGCATTTGCCAGCAGAGAGAAAATGTCGACACGCGAAAGCGGTTGTTTCGACCCGCATGCGCTGCCGACCAATTTGGACCGATTCTGGACGTTCTTGAGCCCCTAGTCCCTACTGGCAGCGCTTTCCAAGTTACCTCCGATGCTTCCTCGCTTGCATTGGTGGGTTCAGTAAGAGCGCCAAAGAAACAGGGCCACGCTACCTGGCTGTCGCACTGCGACATCATGTGCCTCAGTTTCAAGCAAGTTGCCGCAGTTCTTTGCTTTCTATTGAATCCATGCGCCAGCAAATCATGTCTCATGATCCAGAGCAGAACGTCATGTCGAGTCACAACAGCTGAAGAGTCATGTCAAAGGCCTCGCTATCCATGATGATCAACCCTGGGGCCATACATGGACATACCCAGTGCACAGAAAAACCGCCCGAGTTTGAAGTGTTTTTTTCACTTCAAGACGGGAGGAGTCAGTTCGGAGTCGATCTGTCAGTCGCCACGGGTCGCGTCTGGGTCACTGGGTCGGGTTCAAACGGGTTCGGCGATCGGCGATGGGCGACTGTGAACGGTGCAACCGCGGTGAGGAGGCGATCACCATCATTTCTGGACACGAGGGGTTGACCTGATGACAAAACAACAGCACAGAGATAGCGCTATCCACGCGCATCCGCAGAAGGTGCGGCTCGGAAAGATGTTGGAACAGTTCACCCATGTTCACCCTATTTCACCCCTCAGCACGATGAGCACAAAAACCGTTTTTGGACCACGATGCATGGACCATCTCCCATCTCACTTCACATCTCCTGACCCTTGAGTCCCTTGAGGTTGGAATACTTCACCAACATCTCCTGGCCATTTCCTTGTGACTGCGGCGTTCGGCCCCTCAAAGGAGGGCGATGGACGATCCGGGCGACCATGTGGTTCGCGCGAGCGATGTGGTTCGCGCGAGAGGCGGTGAGGCGGATGTGGTGGAGGCTCTCCAAGGGCCTCCAAGTGAAGGCTCAGAGAAGAACCCACTTCTGCCATGGTGGCTGGATTTGGAGCGCCCCACTGCTTTGAAAGGTGAATGGTAGCAGCATGCAACTTGAAAAGCATAACACTTAGATGATCTTAGATCCAAACCCTAGTACCAGGAGTCACAAAGGAGTGGTGTTTGGTTTGGTCCCATCCAGGGGCCGTGGATGTGATGTGATGTTCTGGACACCCCAACTTCCATGGAGTCCGCACCCCGTGACGGTTGTGAGAAGGTACTACTGGATTTTTAGGGAGTGCCCAGAGGCTCATGGACCCTGACTGCTGGTCTGATGTATTTCAAATTGTACATGCCCAAAACGGTTGCAACCGCTCATGCGACCGCTCAGACCGACTTCGGGGGGATTCGAGGTGGGCGCTGCACTGGGCTGTGTGCCCCGTGGTGATCTTTGTGTACACCAGGTGCGAGTAACGTGTTTTCTTGAAACCGCACAAAACGGTGGGATGAAATGAGAATCGGAAACGCCTTCCTTTTTGGCTTTGCTCAGGAATACAGACCAATCTTAGATTGTGTTTTGTAGAGGAAGAAATATCAAGGATGGATGATCAACCAGAATTGATCCTCATTACTAAATCATAAGAAATCAATGAGAATCGATAAACAATAATTTGATTAGGAAATATAACAGACCATTACAACATTGATTTGTCAGGACGATACCGATAATGAAATCGAAATTGAAATATTACAAACGTTGCAAAATATTGATCTTAGAAAATTCTTTTAATTCAGATTCTATAAATATACCTTAACTATTGTTTTAATGGTCTTGGAAGGCTGGGAAATATATATATATTATATTATCGAATTATTCTTGATATTAAAAGGTATATAGATAAAATAAAATATATAGAATATATATTTGAAAATTTAGGCAATGGACGCGATAATTGGATTTTTATATTTAATTTTATAATTATATGTAAATTTGTTTTATATTAATATTTTTTGGAACATCGAAGAAAGTTATAAAGTTCTGATCGTTTATACGTATCTCTTTTGTCGTTTTATTGCGTGTGATTAAATTCTAATATCGAAATTTAAGTTTAATGGGTGTTCGAGCATTATAGATTATGTAATTGATTTTGGAACGTATTTGGCATGGTATTGGGAGCAATTGAATTCGGAGTTGGCTCATTTAAGTGTTAGGCTTATATGGGGGGGTGTAATTCATGAAGATAAACGATGAAATGAAAGATAAAATGATGCGAAAGTTGGCAGATTATATTATGATTTTTTTGTAAAAAAATATAAGGTGGTAGGATTAAAGCATAAAGCATAATTGGAATAAAGTAAGGGATTTGTTGTATTCGGTAACTAATAAAATACATCTTAGGACTTATATATATAATAAAAGCTTCGTTGAAAAAATACGAAGGATTACTTCTATAATAAATTTTTGCATATTAATTAAATTTAATGCATATTATATTTATATATATAAATATAATTAAATTTCTTTAAATAGTTTATTAAAATCTTACGATTAATAAAATTATAATATATAAAATATTTATATACGAGCGGACTCTAAACACGACCCTTCCGATTAATAAACCACAATAATCTTAACGATTTCCGAATTAAATCGAATTAAATAAAAGTCTATAAAAGATTCGAAATAATTAAAAATAATATACAATATATATTTTAAATATCTCAATTTATAAAAATTATATAATATATATAATTCTTGAATAATTTTATTAGCCCAATTATAACCTATAAACAAATGATTATTCATAATTAAAACAAAAATATCGATTAAAGTAAATCTAAACTCCTGGCAAGGGTCATGCGCTTCGATTCTTATAGTCCTCGGTCAACGTTAAATGGAAGCAGAGACGAAGAGCTGCTGCGCATGTTGGCCCGCCTATCCTTGAGACAGGAGGGCACCTTGGCACAATTGAGCCTCGACAAGAGCTACATATTCTTCGTTTAATGTGGTCGAGGCAACATCATACCCAGTATGTTGACCAAGGCTCGCAAATGGAACCAATTCAAGGAGAAGGGCGAGGTGACCACGCCGCTTCGGATGGCGATGTTTCTTCATTATTTTTAGGAGTTGGCTCAACGGACCAAGTAGTTGAAATTGGAAGCTAGCGACGACGCCTTGATTCAGAATTTGAGGTCAAAAGACCCAAAGGCATTTTGACGGAGGATCGCAAATGGGCTTCCTCCCATGGGACTCTCAGGCCATGATGCTCAAGACCAACAAGCTCCAGCCTTTGATTTCAGAGGAAGTTCGATCCCTGCTGGAACGCATTGTCCATATCGGGCAGTAGCCCTCGGTAATCCACAAATTCTCAGCCTTATGTCCAGTGAACCAGGAGAATTTACCCCAGGATATTTCGGTAACAATTCCTTGGCGCTTTAATCTCAGCTTGCGTATTCTAGAATCGACGGAGATGTTCCAGTTGCTTTAGAAGCTGTTAGGCAATGGCATCACAGAATTGGTGCTCCTGAGGGTCAGATTAACGAATCTGTAGCGTTCTCCTTTAGCAAATGCCACTTCTCAACGATTGAGGAGATTATGAAGGCCATCCTTGCGGTTCGGCTGGGAGACTTAGGATGTACGTGCTACATTAATAGCGTTATTTTGGCACAAATATGGAGTTGTACGATGAATCAGATTTTCAATATAATCATTTGGCGAATATGGGAAAAGCCATTTTTGAACATGTTAGTTGAACATGTTGGGGCCGTTGTTGACCTATGTGTAAATCGTTTCTGGGGTTGTCCAAACGTAGGTCTCAATCGGCTCCCGAAATCCGCAAACGTTTCTCGCACGCACAGGGTCGTAGCTAAAGGGGTGCTCAAGGGCCCTGGATAGAAAATGGCCACATATTCGACATTAAATGAAAGTGAACCTGACAGAATGATCGAAAGCGAAAGCTGAAGTCAGATCGGTGAGAAAGGAAAAAAGAAAATCTGTACTCTGAACTTCAACCCTCGACAGGAAAACATTCAAAACATTCGGGCCCATGGCATCTTCTCTCAGTTCCTCAAAGCGTCCTCATAGACACTCACGTGCTCGTAAGCACCAGCACCCTCACGACTGAGTAGGCTCATTTCGCCTTTCTCATGGTCGTAGTGAACATGGGTTTGTTGGACTCTATCTCGAATTTCCCCACGTTCGAACCTGCGTCTTTCACGACGATGCGGATCCATCATCAACCGGTCATCGGCTGTTGACATGTTTTGTGCCTGCAGCATACGTGTCAGGGACTCGATCTTCACATCCTTTTCCTTCATGTCCATGTGGATCTCCAGGATCAGAGTGAAATGGGCATTCAAGAATCGATGCCATTGCTTGATCTCGGCCTCTCCAATCACCTCCTCATCACCTTTCAAAGTCAAATCCATGAACTCTCTTCGGCGAACACTTGGTAGGTGATGACCGACAACATGATTCCGCATAGACTGCGAAACACGATCAGTCCACAAAGCCTTCGACAGCTCTACCCACTTGGCCTGTCCACGTTCCAGAAGCACTTCATCATACAAACTTTGCCAGCGGTCCAACTCGTCTTGTGAACACACTTGCTGGTAAGGCTCATCGTTCACGATGTCTTCATCTTCAGTCTCTGGGTCATTCGCAAGGTCGCCATGGCTCACACCTACGGCTGGCGGCATGTCATTCGCAGGATTCAAGTCATTCCCGCAAATCATGGCATACCCTTGGTGGAACACATTCTTTCCAAAAAGGCCGACGGAGTGGAGGAAGTGCAAGACTACATGCAAAAAGCTGAAAAACCCAATGGTTGCAAATGCGCACAAAATCAAGAAGATTTGGCTCTGCTGTTCTGGGTTCTCCTCCTCATTCTTTGTCGCTTCAACGCATTCGACACTTTCCAATGCCAACACGGACATTGCACACAAAGCTGCCTTCTTCCACTCATCACCGCTTCTCCCTTTTCTGAACTGGTGCAGATAAAAATGCCTTCTCGAACAATACGCATGTTTCTCGTTGGCAGAATCACGCACCTTCTGACACCCGGGAAGACGGCATAGTCCATTTGCTTCTTTTGCGTTCTCATCTTCCAATTGGAACACTTGGCCATCAAAAAGGTTTTCTGCTGCTTGTTCCAACTCTTTCTCTTCACGATTCCTGGCCTCGATGGTCACCTTCTTCGCTGCTACAAAACCAGGGTCAAATCGAAGAGAATGAACTCCTCTGGACAAAACATGTGCCAGTGCATCTTTGGCGGCTCCCTTAGTGAGTCCGTCCGCCAACTGCTGCAAAGAGTTGCACCGTCGCACCTTTGACAAAGAAGCTGCCAATCTTTCACGCAAAATGCAAATTTCGATAGCAGTGCGTCTTTCTGACAACTTGAGCCCTGAGGTCACTGCGGTCGTGCTGTCGAAAAGAGCTTTTGCATCTGTGATCACAGCTGATTCTCCGAACTTGTGCATGGTCTCGTCAAGCTGTATCTGGATGTAAGGATTGACCATTGCAGTAAAGAACACCTTGGTCCACTCTAATTCGTCCACAGCAATCGTCGCTGCCTGTGCTTCCGCCGACAAAGAACTCCGGCACATTCGAACCAGCTTTTTGCTGGACCAATCAATGATGGTCAAAGGAAAAGGTTCTCCAGCATCAAGTTCTGCCTGGCTCGAAAGGAACATGAGCATTCCGCCTTGAGAGCTTCCATCCGGCCTCACTGACCATGCAGCATCGCAGTACAGGCTGATTCGCAACTGATCCAAGGTACAGTGGCAACGAATGGTGAACATATAGTTCTTGACAACCTCTTTCAAGAATCTCAAGCACTTGTTTGCCTCCAGTATGTCCTTGATCATTGGCTTGTTGATTGTGGCCTGCAACACGCTGATGGTGGCGGCAGCTTGAGGCAGACACTGGGTGACTGGCCACGACATGGCCCCAACAAGCGCTCGAAGTTGTTTGTGTTCTCTTTCCGTGCAAAAATCATCAACCATCACCTTTCTGCTTTTCTCCAGGCTCAACGGTTTAATCTTGTTCACATACTGCTGCAGAGACACTGTGATCACGTCACGCTCTGGGCTTTGCTGAACCTCTGCGCCACAAAAGCGCATCTTGCTGCCAAAATCCCAACTGCCAAAACGAAAACGCGTCGACAGATGGTACATGCGATGTTGAAAACATTCATAAGCACCTGCTGGATCTACTTTGACATCCTGCAAAGCCGATACACCCTCGCCGGATCCAACGAAGTCGTCAACATGGAGTCCGACTACATCATCCACTGTCCACCAGCTTCCAGCATATTCAAAGGTCAAAAACTCATCATCTGAATCGCAAGCTTGGCGAATGGACATGTAGAGACATCTGTCCAGTGGGTGGCTAATGAACTTCAAATCGGATGTCAAATAGGCATCTGCTGTGTCGAACCATTGCCTTGGTGTTCGAACATCTCCAAATGCAGGTTTTGTGGCTTTTAGGATCTCATGTTGCTTCAATCCCATCAACCGTTCCAGACGTCGTCTCATGTCCGATGTTGGCTTGACAAAGATTCTGGTTGAATCGTCAATGGAATCGGCTTGCATAAAAGCTGATTTGACATCTGCACACCACAACTTCCAGCCTCGATGCACTGCCCAGACCAGAACAATCATCCTGCCCAAGCGGCTCAGGGTTGGAGATTCACGAACCAGATTCTCGCTCAGAACATCTACATGGCGGAATCCCTGGATGATGACACGGGCGTTGGCCACATGGCCATCTGCTGTGGGCTTCCATCTTTG